GAAGCAATCCTAAAGATATCAGAGAACGGAGTTCTCAAGTCTTTAGAGGAAAAGTGTTTTGCCCCCTCAGCTGGCTGCTCAACAAACGTAACCAACAATGATTTAACTGAAAGCCTGAGCCTCCACAGCTTTTCAGGTCTCTACCTGATATCTGGATTCATTTCCACCATCTGTGCTCTACTATTTCTGGTTAAATTACTAACGAATTATAGAAAAAACCAAGTTGCAACTCAAGGAAATACAACTGCAAGTAATAGAAGCTTTTGGAGCAAGGCCATAGGACTTGGAAAGTACGTACTTGATAGAAAGGAAAGAATAATTATCCAGCTTCAACTTGTGCGCGAACAGCTGATGAACGGAGGAACTCTTCGAGATGGAAGTATGTAAATCCATCTGATACTTCAGATAATCAGCAGGAATCCATTGAAGCTGACAGGGAAATGCAGTATATCCCAGGTTGTAGCTGAGACCAAGATTCATGTGTTTATGATTGTCCTAAATGTTTATAAATAATAATTAATTCTTTAAATTCATTTGTAAACTATAGAAGTTAATTGTTCGAACCATTCAATTTGATATAAGGTCAAGTGTATGTATCTCAAAATTACTGTTGATTCTTTTCTATGCACAGAATACTGATAATAATTGTATCAATACATATTATAAAATCTAACCCTGTTCTTGCTGGCCTATTGATTGATTTAATGTTTCCAAGTCTTCGTAGTTCTTGCGTATAAAAGCAACCCAGAATCCAAATTTTGTTTTTTGAAATTACATTAAGACCAGCTATTGGCCCAATCGAGGAAAGGCAGTCGGATCTACAAAAAAAGTTTATAGTGGAGAAGAATGAGATAACAAAAAACATATTCTTGAATCTTGGTCAATGAGTTTTATCATTTCCACAAATGGAGAACGTGCTTAAATTCGAATCAGAGGGAACATCTACAATGTCAACAGCGAATTTAAATATGGAGGGGAATTTGAATGCCATATTTGCTGCCGTTCTTCAACTCCTATATTAGAAAGTTTTCATTCACCATTTCTGCAAGGATAACTCCTTACATAATTAAGAAATTCATCTCCTTTATATATATCAAAAATTCAAAACCACAGAGTTGGTATTTTTTTATTCAACAATTTCATAACTTAGATTATTTTGGACTTTAGATTATAGTTTAGATGTATTCATTTTTATTTATGTAAAACTCAAAACAAGAACGATGATGTTTTTCTTTAATAGAAAACGACATGTCTAATTTCTCTAGGAAACGACATGTCGTTTCTTGTGAGTGCGAAAACCATGTCGTTTACCATTTCTAGGAAACTACATATCATTCATCTGTCCTTCTAATGACATGTTAATTAGACTAAAACAACGTCGGTCCATTTCCAGGAAACAATACGACGTGGATTTTCTCCAAGAAACAACATGTCGTTTCTTTTGGGAAGTGAAATGACATCGTTTTTTCTTGGGAACGACTTGTCGTTCTTTTGTCCATGAAACAACATATCATTTCTTTAATAAATAAACGATGTTATACTTCTTTAATCGGAACGACGCTATCGTGTGCAAAAACGGACAACATGTCGTTTAGCATGGGGAAACAACATCATTCTAATTTTCAAGAAACGACAGGTCCATTTTCTCTAGGAAAGCAACCTCTTGTTTCGTTTGGAATTTGAAACGGTGTTTCTTTTGCTCAAAAACGACATGTCATTTCTCTCTGTTCAGGAAACGACGTGTCGTTTCTTTTGTCCAGGGAACGACATTTCGAGTTGTTTTTGAATATCATTTAACTCCCTTTTGTTTTTCTTAATATATAAACACCCCTATATTTTTGTCGTAAATGGACCTAAGCGACATTTAACGTAAACAATTTTTAAATTTAAGGTAAATGAACTACTCTGCAAGACCCCGTTGTAACAGATTCTCGCCGAGGGTTTCTTTTACGGAGAACCAAAGTCGATTGTTATTTTTATTGAGGTCGCACTGCCATCTCCATATCCATTTGCTCTTTTTTTCCGATACGAAAAACTGCTATCCACCGGGCCTGGATAGAATAAATTTGTGAAAACATCAATTCAGAAGTCTTGATCCAAAATGAAGCAACTTCACTGGCAAGCTATTGCATCCTCCTAGAGTAAGGATCATAAACGCACATCTCAAAGATACTTTTGGTTGCCGGAGTTTGGAGTCTCGATGAAGAAGGGCAGAGAGGTCGGTGGTGACGCTAAAACTTTAGCTGGAGTCATTCAACTCACTTTCATTTTAGCTCATCTGCACTAAGAACATTTATTCATTGAATATATATTTCTTTAGCCATTTTAAAGACATGTAAGGCTTTAGTAAAGCTCTCTTGAGGTATTTCAGAACGACTCTCCAAGAGCGACTGACCTTTCTGAATCCAGAATGGATAGTAAAAGATATTGGAAGGGAAGTGGTTTTCTCCCTCACCGGAGTGCTTAGAGTTAGTGCACAAACCTTGTTCACTCACTAACAAAATAAAAAGAGACAGTACTGTTTTAAAAACCAGACTGGAGGGTAATCCGCTCTGATGGTCGGGTCACGGTTCAATCGATCTAACCAGTTGGACCGGTGATATTATCACATATTATAATGATGTCAGCACATGGTTGGACCAGTGATATCATCACACATTATGATGACATCAGCACAATCATTTGGACAATTAATGAAAATATTATGGGCATTCAAAAATTATTAGGACCAATATTTTGGTGCACATTCATGTGGGCAATTAATGGGCAGAGTACATTAAGCAATGCAAAATCCCTCAAATCCAACGTAATGCACTCTAGAAATGCTTGGAATCATATTAACAATTTTTTTACAGTACCACCAATCCTCATAAACATTATAAGTCTCCAATTCAAATCAAACTTTTTGATGATATACACTTACACATGAACCATCAACTTAATAACCTAATTCTCCTCTTGATGTGCGCAGAAACTATATTTACACCTGTTCATATTTGAGATAGCTGCTCCTGAGAAATAAAATTCAGACAGATCATATTGTAGTCATGCAACAAAAGTTACAAGTATCCACTTCCTTTGCAGCTGACACTTAAATTTCTGGTGAATAATACATCCTAGATATTTGAGAATTAGGGCTCCTTTGTATGCTCTAAACAAAGAAATTCAATGGGACATTGGACAACTACATAATACATGCATTTCCCCAAACATCAATTAAGGGTGATTACAGAGATGCGACAAAAAGATAAAATTTAGATATTAATTGTCAAAGTAGACTTACAGCTACTCAATAAACAAACTAACTCAAAAATAAACACAAGCGTCGCGAATTAAATGCCTCCAGCCACAGCCAAGCCTACACAGAATACAACGATTACAGTCAAAAGTTTTTTGAAGAACAAATGACTAAAGCCATGGCGCATTGATTATTGCTCCAGATTAAGTTATTACTTATCTATTCACCCTCAAACTCATCCTTATATAACAAAATCATATCTACGTACGCTCACCAGAGTTCCATTGTAGCCGAGACGTTAATGAATCTTTCAATCTTAAACACCCATTAGTCTAACCAAGTATTTGATTATGAAGATCTTCCTCAACTGTCATAACATCTAGCTGATATTCAACAGATCATCTCCTTCATTCCTCGCTTTTGAATACATTAATTGTTAAACTTGACATTCAAAGTTTCAAACACACATTCACAGTAATTGACATGCGACTAAATTTATTGAACAACTTGATCATCAAAACTAAAATAAAAAAATCTACCATGATAGATTATCAGTTTTACTTAAAAATTTTGTTACTAATAACCGAAAATAACTGAACAGAATGGTAAGATTTATATTAAAAACCCAGCATTACAATACGAGTTGTGAACCTGGTGAGAACTCATTTTAACTTCCATGACTCAACAAATTTGGATAGTGCAAAAAATTGAAAAATGTAAAGGGTGTTAACTTAAATGTAAAGGGATCGAGGAATGGCGTGTTTATTACCTAGATCAAGGAATGGAGCTATCGTCAACAAATAGAGCTGTCGCCATCGATTTCCAGCGACGAACGGAGATGTCGTCGTCAATTTCTGGCGAGGGAGAAGACGTCACCGATTTCTAGCGAGGGGGGAAAACGTCATCGTCGATTTCAGAGAGTTCAGATGGAATTTGGGTGGGATTTCAAAGAGAACAGAAGACAGAGCCGAAACCGTGAGAATTTTCACAGAGAACAGACAACAAAGACGAAGCTGATAAATTTTCACAAAGAACAGAGTTTTTGCTGAGAAATTTTCATAAGAAAAACTAAGAAAGACTGAAGGAGAAGAAGATGAGAAAGGGCTGCATCACATCACGTATTAGGGATTGTAATATTTGGACAGGTTTATTCACCGATCCGATTGGACCGACGGTTCAGTGATATTATACGATTTTTTAACGGTTTAAAGTGGCTCAATTAATAATGGCGGTTTTGGGGTTGACTCAAACTGGACACGTGACCGGTTCCCGATCCAACCAATTAGACCGACTGGTCTGGTCCGGCTTTTAAAACAATGGTACTCACCCAGCTGAAAGCCTACCAAACATAGTTTCAGGGGTGAGGAACTTCTGGATCAAGGTGGCTGGAGTTGAACGATACGCATAAATAAAATGACAAATATTCCAAGCAGTCCAAACTTTTGCTGCCGGTTGAACGAATTTGTTGGAAATCCTTTCATTCCTGGCAAGCACTAAAGCACACAAACAGCTCAGACTCACGTAGCATAGTAGTGTGTGAATGCAGTCTCTCAATTGCAACAAATTGTTTGTTGTTACTCAAAAGATACAACNCGGTTGAACGAATTTGTTGGAAATCCTTTTATTCCTAGCAAGCACTAAAGCATACTAACAGCTCAGACTCGTGTAGCATAGTAGTGTGTGAATGCAGTCTCTCAATTGCAACAAATTGTTTGTTGTTACTCAAAAGATACAACCACCGAGTTATTTAAAGGTCTTACCATGTTCACCACAAACCAAATTAAATTAAGTAAAATTCTACAGATGGTCAGACCAATGGACATGCATGCATAATGAATACACGCACCAACAAGCATGCAAATTTCCTGAAATGGTCCTAAAACTTCTACTTTGATAGAAACCGGAAAGGAAACCCACATCCTCAGCCAATCAAGTTGTACTCCTACCAGAGGGACTCAGTTGCCTTTGTTTGTCCATGATTAATCTAGAAACTCATTCACGGGGTTATCTGTCAATCAAAACTTGTTTCAACAGACAAGAATTACAATAAATCAAATCCCATCTATCTGTATTCTTCAGTTACACAGTTATTCTTCCGAATTTTCATTGTTCTTACACCTCTGCCGACATTATTCAGAGTTACCGATAGCCTCTTCCCCTTCCACGTCCACCCCAACCACCCCTACCCCTGCCCCTCATACCTCCCCTTCCACCTTGCGATATTCCTTGCAAAGCTCTATTTACAAGTTGATTTTGCAAGCCTCCAGATCCACGGCCCTTTTTTGCTGCCATATTGCCAGAACCATTGCTGGCAGCAGGTCGTTTCCCTCTGCACAAAATTATACAAAATTAGGATAATAACTAAAAAGGTCCATTCAAATAATCAAATTTTGCAGGAACAGTGTCCTTTTCTCTCGTATATTTCAATGGGTCACTGCATTGATGACCTCTCCAAGTTTTAGTTCATTTCAACTCTGAACTAATATGAGGTATAATATCATATTATCATATTATACCTCAGTCTAAACGCTCAACACAACATCTATCACTTTCCTGCAACCTCATGCTAGTGAAATGAAGCCATAAAAAATAATTCCACATGGGAATGTACAGCTATAAAAAGGTAGATTAAAAATAAACACAGAAATTGATAAGTACACAGCATCAACAGTTAAACAGAAGGAGTTTCAGTATCACACAGATGTCCTACCCAGTTGCAGTTGTCGAGGTCACAGAAGGCTTTACTGCTTCTTTCCATGAGAGGTTGACACTCTTATCTCCAATAAATGAAGGTGTTTTTGAATGTAACGGCTGCAATTTTAAATTTTCCAGAGATTAGTAAAGACAGTTCACCTATACATGTAATCAAATTGCAAGTAACAAGACTTTACTCCCTTTTACCTTTGACATGTGCAGAATGTTATTGCACGTCCGTAGCCCAGTTGTAGTATTCTGTTTTTGAGTTTTCTTCACATAAAACAAAGAAATTAGGTAACATACTAAGAATACAGCACAAGAGACCTAGAGTCTTCCAAAAATAAACTTACAATGTTATCCTTAGCTTCATCAGATTTAGCGGCAGCCATTGCTTTGTTGTGCTCAGCCATTCCCTGAGTTAATTTCTTCATTGTTGCCCTAGTTAGGTCCTCAACAGTAGTCAACCTATGTCATCATGACAATAAAGGGGACAATATTAATAACAGATTACAACTCATAGGTTGAACAAGAAAGAGAATAATATGTGTATCAGGTCTTATTGTACAAACTATTTGAGAAATTAAATTTATCAACAAAAACTTCACTCGGCGAGAAATGGGGAAAATTTTAACTGGTGAAACATGGCTTGATCTCAGTAATTTCAAGGAAAACTGCTTTTGAACTCTCAAACTTGAAAAGCAAACCAAAAAGAAAGAAAGAAAGGTCACAGGAATGAAATACAGAATTCATGCAGATGCCTGTCAATGTGACTAGTTTATCCAGTCATAAAAGCAAAAGCTACTTGGAATTAACCGAGTTTTGCATGTATCTTAAGATAACTCAATATTCATATAGTAGTGGAAGTTGTTGCAAAAAATTCTCTTTAATTTTTAAAAGAAGGCCTTAGTAGATTGCAATAATGATTGTTTTACATTTTTTCTCAATACAAGCATTTTATCAGTTTTACTTAATAAGCTCAATTCAATTATTTATCTTAGATTTTCTTCACAAGTCCCAGATCCTTCAAAGCAAGACCACGCGTCTGCTCCATTTTGACAAAGGATTGGCAAAATAGCTATAAGTTCAAGAAAATGTCTCTACCAATATTAGTTCAGAAAACTCAATGCAGCTACAAACAATATGGTGACTGTTGGAAAATGCAGAAAAGATTATAAAAGCTACAAACAAGCACTCGAGAGAAATCCTCTCCAAGCCTTACCTCTCAGTGAAGTCCTTGAAACACTCAGAGAAATCCTCTCCAAGCCTGTCTGATGGTTGACCAGTGACTATCTTGTAACCACATAGACTGTTAGTGGCATTGGGGGCCTATAAAAATAAAAATAAATATATAAATAAAAAGATAAAATAAGCATTGCAAAGTACCCGGCAAGTCGTTTTCTAATTAAAAAAATAGTAACCAACGAGAGGGGAAAGCTAATATGGTTAAATTAACAACCTTGTGAGCCATATGATGGAAAGAGAACAACAAGCACTCGACATAAGTAAAGTTCATTTCTTCTCCTCCAGTCTTCCTCAAAGGCATATACTTCTGAAAAGACAGAATACAGAATTTTAAAACAAACAGTTAAACATATACAGATCTTGCAGGCAAAATACTTATATTAGTTAGATCCAGTAATTACTAATTCAAGTACATTATAACAGGACCTTAGCCATAGACAAATGAAACCACTAAAAAGTGAGAACATACAAAACAAATTCAATAGAGAAACTAGATTTTAAACTGATATCTTTCCATATTACAGTTCTGAATAAATGATCAATAGTAAATAGCATGTATACCTTTAATAGAACAACAACAGAAGGTAGAACCTGTCTTGAATCCTGTGGTGTTGTGTAAGGCGATATTTCTGCAAGGGCTTTAAGAAGATCTAGCTTTCGTTCCTCAGGAAGCTGAAAGGGAATAAAATTGTTAGTATATATATCAAAAAAGTTCTTTACTGGAACAATAAAGAGTTAGACCACAAGTCTTTCAAGGAGGTAGCCCCTTGTATGGAATAACATCTTCAAATTGAAGAGAACTTCAAATTTTGTTCAGAAACCAACTTCTATCAACCAGGAAATGTTACAGGTATTTCATACAGAAACAACCAAGAGAAACAGATCATCATTTTTTTTATAAGAAACTGCAAAAACACCATATCACTGAGACATGTTTATAAATTTTTTAAATTATACAGCTCACGAAATTTTTGTGAGTTATGAAGAGTTTTTTTTATACAAAGAAGCTATTTTTCTAGAGTTTTAACAGCTATAATCAATTTACACACATTTGGATAATAAAAATTAAAAATGTCCATTCTAGATTTTCCTGTTATCACCAAAATTTCACAATCATTTCTATATCTTATTTTCCCAATTCTCTTTTCCATATTGTTTCTTGTTTCTATTTCAAAACCAATAAACACCTAAAATACTTCCAAAAATAAGAACAAATATACACTTTTTTTTAATAATAAACAAACAAAAGCTTTCGTTTACAGGGAAGGTGGCATTACCTTATCAAAAACTGGTATAATTTGTTTGTTCAAATAGTTAAGAAACTTGCTGCCCGATGCACCTCTCTGGTTAAAATTTTAGAAAATAAAGGAGATTGGGTTAAGAAAAATAGAAAATTTCTAATGTAAAATATCCAACAACATCAAGCACAATCCATACCAGAAAGAAAGGCATAGCCATGTACAGGCATGATATTAATCTGTCAATGTGGTCTGCATCTGAAACCTACATTAAAAACCATTTAAATAAATAAAGTTGTCATAAGAGGGAAAACAGCATGGTTATGCAAAACAATATCAATTCTCAAGACTAGCAAACTTATGGAGAAGGGCAAAAAAAAAGTAATAGAATACAGTCTCCTTTAAAAGTCACACCAACAGTGTGCTAGTTTTGCATAAAAGCACGCACAATAAACGTGCCAGAACTTCAAACAAGATCATGTATTCCCCCAATATTCCCTTTCCCTCAAAAGCAGTGCGAGAATTACTAAATATAACCATTATAAGAAAGTGAAGATACCAAATTCTCATTGTATTTCCTTGTGATCAAAATAACTCTGGGTTTCATAATTATCTGTCATCTGTTACTCCATATATACACACCAAACAATAAACAAAAACAACTAGGTAAATATTAGATATCATGACATANTTGTCTTAAAATTTAATTTCTAAACATTTACGATATTCAATTAAGTGAAAAACAATAAATCAAAGAAATTAAATTAATTAAACATATATCTGTAAAGCTTTATTACTTAAATAATTCCGACTATCAATAATATTGAATATTAAAGGTCTACAAAACTTTAATCACAAATTTATGAAAATCAACTCATAATTGAATATTTAATATTGCATATAGTAATTGTGTAGTGTAGGTCCCAAGCAAAAGTTATTAAAAAATAAATAAAAATCGTGCATTCATTCAACGATGAATGCACGATAAATAAAAATCATGTTAGTTGAGGTTTTTTCGGAAGATTTCTTCATCCTTCTGTTGCTCCAACTCAAGGAACACGTTTTGACATTTTAACTATTTATTTTTGGAATTTAATGTGTGGATGACACGTGACGTGATTATTTAAAGGATTGAGAATAATTTTGATGTTATCCGATTAATATAAAAATGTATGTCATATTATATTATCACCTAACGTGATTGAACTTTGTTAAATATAAAATAAGAATAAAGATAGTCTAACAAACACGTCTCACAAATTTAATTTTCTCCCACAAACCTCATGTGTGACATGACATCTAAGTTGGTAGTCCTCACTATAACCGTTGTAGAATATATAGTAATTGTGTAGTGTAGATCCTAAGCAAAAGCTATTAAAAAATAAATAAAAATCGTGCATTCCTTTAACGATGAATGCGTGATAAATAAAAATCATGCTAGTTGAGGTTTTTTGGAAGATTTCTTCATCCCTCTATTGCTCCAACTCAAGGAACACGTTTTGACATTTTAACTATTTATTTTTGGAATTTAATGTGTGGATGACACGTGACGTGATAATTTAAAGGATCGAGAATGATTTCAATGTTATTCGATTAAGATAAAAATGTATATCATATTATATTATCACCTAAAGCAACCTAACGTAATTGAATTTTGTTAAGTATAAAATAAGAATAAAGATAGTCTAATAAACACATCTTACAAATTTAATTTTCTCCCACAAATCTCACATGGCATCTGAGTTGATAGTCCCCACCATAATTGTTGTAGAATGTATAGTAATTGTGTAGTGTAGGTCGTAAGCAAAAGCTATTAAAAAATAAATAAAAGTCATGCATTCATTCCTCGACGAAGGCATGATAAATAAAAATCATGCTAGTAGAGGTTTTTTCGGAAGATTTCTTCATTCCTCTGTTGCTCCAACTCCAGGAACATGTTTTGATATTTAACTATTTATTTTTGGAATTTAATGTTTGGATGACATGTAACGTGATTATTTAAAGGATCGATAATGATTTCGAATAAAGATAGTCTAACAAACATATCTCACAAACTTAACTTTCTTTCNCTCCTCCTCGCCGCGGCGAAGCTTCTTCTTCGCCCCGGCGAAGATTGGATTTCCAACTTCACCAAAACTCAACCAATTTCAAGGCAACAATTCAACCAACTCAACATACAAACTCAATTAAAGTTGAAACCATAAACTTTTAACTAATACAGTAAATCTTAAATACGTACCTCAAGTGGGATATTACATTCAATAACCTGCTATAAACCGCCATTGAACCGAGAAAATAGTGCGAACTGCCAATCCAACCGAACTGCTTGAAAAACCGGTCCAATATTTCAAAAGGGGAAAAAATCCCTAACCACTAAAAACATCATTCTCTTTGCAGTTTCTCTACGCAAAAATCCTCTGAAAATCTGAAATCTAAGCTACCCACTCAAATCGCCACTCAATCTCAATGAACTCCACTCTCTGAAGTATGAAATCACAACCATTGTGTCAATCGCAACTCTACTCTCTGAAATTGACGACGACGTCTTCCTCCCTCGCCGGAAAATGATGATGACAGCTCCATTCTTTGCTATTAATCGACGACAGCTCCATTCCTCGTTAGAAATCAACGACGACAGCTTCATTCCTTGCTGGAAATCGACGACAGCTCCATTCCTCGACGATGACGATGCCAACTCCATTCCTCGCTAGAAATCGACAATAGCACAGCTCCTTTTCAGAAAGTGTAAGTTTTTCATGAGTCACGACCCCTTCCATTTTTGCAAATCTAGTTGATGTATCTAAGTTCTTGTTATATGATGATGAGTTAGGAAATAATTTATAGCTTATCTAGATTGTTTCACCAGTCATGTCCATCTTGAATTAATTATGTGGGTGAGAATGGGTATTTGACTGATGCCAATGTTGTTACTCATAATTTGAGGAATACATTATCATTCTATAGGGAAGTTTATGTTATGGAAATGTTGTTACTGATGCCAATGCTGCTACTCATAATTTGAGGAATACATTATCAGTCTAAGATATGTATGAATGTTTAATTTTTATTTGGATATGTATTGTTTATATTTACAATTTAATTTAGGAAAAAATTAAAAAAAAGTTTTATAAAAAAAGGGAACACCGGTTCAAAACCGGTTAACAACTCTTTTTAAATTGGTTAACCGGTTTTTTGATTAACCGAAAAATTGATTTTTCCTCCAAATCGGTTCGATTTCGATTTAGAAAAGCGATTAACCGGTTCGGTTAACCACTTTTGAGCACCCTTAGTTGGCATACAAGACTGGAGTTCTTGCCATAGCCAACTGTTATGAAGTACAATTATTAGGGGCTAAGCCAACTGTTATGAAGTACAATTATTAGGGGCTATGTTTGACGCAAACATCTGTTGCATGCTTCAACACACTAAATCAAACAAAAAACACTACAAGGTAGAATAGTTGGCTGAGCTACTTTCCACAATAAGACGGAATCACATTTTTCAAAAGAATCATTGTTTCCAATTTCATTGTTAGATAACTTAAAATATAAACTAAAACTTATATTTTTAAGATAGCTCAAATAATCTAGATATGACTTGTTTACGAATAAGCAATATAAGCTTTGAACTATAAGATAACAGTCGAAATTACACAATTAAATATCTATACGGAGACTTGATGCAGTTTTTCCATAACATAAATTTCCCTATAGATTGATAAATAATCTCTACTTCTCATAATCAAATTTTGACCATTACTAACAATACATTAAAAATTAATATAAATAAAAGTCCGAAATGAAATTATTTTTTTATTTAATATATAATATATATTTTTATTTTTATTTTTATTTAATATATATATATATATTACTATATATATATATATATATATATATATATATATTTGTAAAACCGGTTCAAAAAACAGGTCGGTTAACCCTTTTATTTTTTCCCGAACCAAAAATTCGGTTTGAATTTTTCAAAACGTAATCGAACCATTTTTACGGTTCGGTTCGGTTCGGTTTGCATTTTTTGAACACCCCTAATGCCAACGACTTCAAATATAGAGGAATTCTTTTTTGTCATTAAGCTGTTGCGAACCATATCATACTTTTATGTTGTTTGCTCTTTTCCTTTGGCATATTTATGATCTTGTAGCTTTTATCATGTTTGTCCTTTCTTTTCGGTGCAGATTTGCATTAATTAGATTCAATCCTTGAATGCGTCCATAATATGCTGGTGTTTTAATAAGCCAATTATATACTAAATTGTTGTTATTTCTTAGGTGATAGGTAGATAAAGATTAAAAACAGACAATGTCAACATCTGGCTCTGAGTCTTTTTCACAATCTAGTAGAGGTAGGACTGATATAACATGGACACATGTTATTGAGGGTGTAGATCCAAATGGAAGGAAGACATTAAAATGTCTTCAGTGTGGGAAAGTAACTAGAGGAGGAGGTATTTTTAGAATGAAACAACATCTAGCTGGAACAAAGGGGGATGTTGGTGCTTGTTTAAAAGTTCCTTTTGATATTTAATACTTGATGAGAGAATCACTAAAAGACATTAGGATAAAGAATAAAGAGAAGGCTGATTCTAGTAAGTATAATACTCCTTATGGTGCTACCGTACATGGATTTGAGAGAGATATGTTAAATGAAGATAGTGAAGAGTTTCGTCCATCAGAAATTCACATAAATGAAGGTAGGTTTGGCAGTCAAAAACAAAGTACAATGCTAGACAAATCAAAAGAAAAAAACCTATTGGGGTTGGTGACTATTCTGCTCCAAAGACAATTGTTGGATCTCAACCATCAATTAGGATTTGTTTAGCTGGAAAAGATGCGACATGGAGAGCAGACGTGACTTTTTCAAGATTCTTTTATGATGTTTGCATCCCAATTAATGTTGTAAATTCAATTTATCTTCAGCCTTTGGTGGATGCTATAGCTGCAATTGGGCCTAGGTATAAATACCCAAACTATCATGGTTTACGTGTCAATTTGTTAAGAGATGCTAAGAAGGAAGTGCAACTTCTTGTTGATAGTTACAGAAAGATTTAGGAAAATGTTGGATGTACCTTAATGGTTAATGGTTGGACTGATAATTCACATAGGTCATTGATCAATTTTATGGTGTACTGTTTGGTGGGTGTCGAATCCAACAAATAATAAAATTCTCACTCTAAAAAAAATACAAATTGTAACAGTGATGAGCAAGGTCGTATCCACAGAGATTGGGTAGAATTATTTTGATGAAAATTAAAGCAA